AAAGGGGGAACCAATTACAAGAATCTAAGTATTGCCTCCTCCCTGGGGGATGGACAGCAGAGAAGAGGGCGGAGGGAAACATCTGACAGGGTAACTGATGACAAAACTATAATAATTAATGAACTATGAAGGGGTCACGAGGGAGGGTAGAGTGGGGAGGGAGGGGGAAAATGAGCAACTGCTATTAGGGGCTAGAGTGGGAGGCAAATTTTTTGAGAATGACAAGGGCAACAAATGTGCATATGTGCTTGACACAGTGGATGTATGTATGGATTGTGATGAGAATTGTACGAGCCCCCAATAAATAATTTTAAAAAATTGTTAGCCTTTAAATTTTGGCCTCATCTCACTGCTTATCTCTTTAAAGCCTCACCAGCCACATGCCCCTTGTGTTCCAGCTACACTGTTATGGCTTTTTTTTTTTACAATAAAGGTTTACACAACAGCTTAAGTTCCTATTTAAGAGTTTCTTCACACATTCTTCAGTGATACTGGTTTCGTGCTCATGGAATTTCATTTGTGATTTGAAGGACCATGTTACTTTTAAGTCTTGGGATCTTTTGTTCTTGCTACAACCCCCATTGAACCCTTGATGATTTATTTTAGATAATAATCCTGACTTACTCTTTAATTTGTTGAGTTACTGAACAAATATTAAGTGTCTACTTCTCTGCCAGCTACTGTTGAAGGTATCAGGGATAGAACAGAACAACAGAAATTCTCTTATCCTAGTCGTTCATTTCACTATCTTGGAAGTTCTCTTTAGACCTTTAAATAAAGCATTTTTCTAACTTCTTGAGTCATTTTTCATAAATACAATTATGAAATTTAATTGTTTAATTTTTTTTAAAGTCTTTAAGGATTAAATTTCTAGGATATGGAAAGTACTCACTAAGTATTTGTAGAAGGAACGAATGATATGCTATTTGTGTGGAATGATGTGAAGTATTACATAAATTAGTATGCTACATTCTGTAACGATGTTAGTGTTAAATAATCAGATTGATCAATTCCTGATAACTGCACTGAAGTTAAGGAGCCTTGATGGCGTAGTGGTCACTCATTGGCCTGCTAACTGCAAAGTCAGCTGTTCGAAATCACTAGACAGGCCTTTCTACTCCTGTAAAGAATTACAATCTTGGAAACTAACTGGGGCAGGACTGCCCCATTTTATAGGGTTGCTATGAGTCTTCATCGACTCATTGTCAGTGAGTTTTGTTTCTTTTTTGCACTGAAGTTAACAGACAGACAAACAACAGTGCATGTGAAATGTTATAACTAGAAAAGTACACTTAATGTATATAGGATTTATGAACTTATGTATTAAATTAACTTCTGAAGTAAAATTTATCACTCAGTTTTGTGGAAATCCAGATTAACTGGCTTTAGTATATTCTAATGTATTTGGGCTTGCAAAATTTTATTAGAAAAAGCTACATTTAGTCACTTGATTCAAGGAATGTTACTTAATTTTCTAAATTTGTAAATGCCCTTTCATGTTTAAAACTAATTGTTTATAAGGTATAATTTGAATATTATGTTAAATTGTATGAACATTTGACTAATCTACCAGAGTTTTGACACATTTGGTCAATATTTATAGTGGTAGCAGTATTTAACCTGTGTATCTGATCTCTTCTAGGCTGCAAAACGAGGTATTCTGTCTCCTGGTCGGGGTAGAGGAATTCATTCGAGAGGTCGAGGTACCGCTCATGGCAGGGGCAGGGGCAGAGGTCGAGGCCGAGGTGTTCCTGGTCATGCTGTGGTGGATCATCGTCCTAGGGCCTTGGAGATTTCTGCATTTACCGAGAGTGATAGAGAAGATCTTCTTCCCCATTTTGCGGTACTTCCTAATTGTCCAGCCAAATTCTAATAATTATGTAAAGGTTATGGATGTAATGAACTATCTTAGCCCATTAACCCAAGTGTAAGATTTGATTGTAATAATGCTTTATTATTTGGAAAATCGAAATATAAAGTCTTTTACAGCAATTTGATACCTGGGTGAAAATATACAAATTTGTTCAATCATCTTAAAGTTGCCTTACATGATGCCTGGATATAATTAAAGACAGTGAGCACATGGGAAAAAGAATGGTGTTGTAGTTCTCCTAATTAAATATGTCACTTCTACTTCTGGAAATCAGTGGGCTCGTGTCCAAATAGAGAAGAATAGGAGAAACCCTGCAGTGTGATGATTAAATGATGGCTACTGACTAAAAGGTTGACAATTCAAAACACCAGCCTCTCTGACGAAAAAAAGACCTGGCAGTTTGCTCTCATAAAGGAAACCCTATGGAGCAGATACAGTGGAATGAAAGATTTCATTTGTCCTATCAGGTCTCTATTAACTGAAATCGGCCAATAATATACAGCATGTCTACTTTGGGTGGTACAGAGAGTTAACTTTATTGGTTACTAACTCAAAGGCTGGACCTTTAATTTCACCTAGAAGCACCATATACTTCAAAACATCAGCCATTAAAAACCCTGTGGAGCATAGTGCTATGCTCACATAAGTGGGCTTGCCATAAATCAGAATCTCTTTGATGGAAAACTGCTATATGTGTTGATTTTTGTTGTTAAAAAAATATTTATTTAAAGTCCCTTTGACTTAATATGTTAAGATTCTTAGTGATAATATCTGAAGTTAGATAAACATAAATCTTGTCCTCAGCAATAAATTTCTCTGGAAAATATGAAAGAAATAACAAAGCAGTTCTTTACCTTCTAAGTTTATTTTTAGACATAGTAGTTTAAGAAAAACCAGTTGAGGTAAACTGTAAAAATAATGTATAAGCAGGTGAAATTTTTAAAAAACTAAATAGTTCAATAATTTAGGAGTATCTTTCATATAATCATGTGATGGGAAAAGAACAGGAAAATTCCATGTGGAAATAAAAGGATAAGTAAGCTCGTAGTGAGATACATAAATAAGTTAACGTTTTGAAAATTTAAATGCTTTATATTGATGTTCTAAGCTCATGTAGTAGTTATGGAGTTGAAATTATACTTACTCAAGACATAGATTATCATTGACTAAACTGGTTTATGTTTAAGAATGATAATGATTAATAAGCAAACCTGTGGCATGGTGGTTAAGGGCTCAGCTACTAACTGTAAAGCTAGCAGTTTCAACACAGCCGGGGCTCCATGCCAGAAAGACCTAGTGATTTATTACAGCTTAGAAAAATCCGTTGGGCAGTTTTCTGTCAAATAAGATTGCTATGAGTGGAAATTGACTCAACAGCACCTAATTGCCTAAAATCAACAATAATATGGATGTATTTAAGGATGGGTCTGAAATTCACAATGTAGTCGAAGAGAGAAAGGCATAGGAAATAGAAAGGAAATGTAGTCCAACTCTTTTCTGCTGTGCACCCATTCCTACATTGTCTCTAATGTAAGGAACTCCAGATAATGCAAATGCCTTCTATATGGTTACATGTAGCTAATCTGAAAACTATGAAAGTATGCTATAATATTCCAAACAAAAGAACATGAATTTCTAACAGAAATAAACATGTTTTGCTGAGATTAAGATGGTTTTGGCTTTAGAAAATAATAGAGCCTTTAAATGGGGATTCTTATGTACATTTGGAAGTTCAAATGCAGAGAGCTGCATACTCAAGTTAATTAATGGTAGTGCACATTAAAAATTTTGTGTCTTAAAAGAGTGCATGCAGCTTTTGTGTTTCAACCTGTGGGCCAATAAATGACATGAATTATGCTGATTTTAATGAAGAAAATGAAGCATGAGGAGGTTAAGTAATGCTGTAGTTGTACAGCAAGCTATTTGACAGAGCTGGGATCTAATGTCTCTGGCATACATGCTCTTTACTGTGTTTATAGAATTTGGCTCCGTGTGTGTCCGTGTGCACGTGAGAGAGAGAGAGAGAGAGAGAGAGAGAGAGAGAGAGAGAGAGAGATTAGGCTGGGAAGTCCACCACTGCTCTCTCATATTGTGACTTTGGTTCTGCTGTGGCTGCTGTTCTTCGTCTCCTTTGTTGCTCCTCTGGTAACTCATGGATAAGGAAGTTCGATGCATAGAGATCTCGGGGTCAGATCCAAGTGAAGAAGTGTACTTTTCGTTCTTCTCTCCAGCTGGTAGAGAGATTCCCTTTTCTTCCTCCTTGATGGCTCATTTTATGATGGCCCAGAAAACTGGCAATCAACAATTAACCCTGTTAATCACAACTGAATCATAATCCTACTAATAACTTCCCTCAAAATCTGTTACCCAGACACATCAATAAAAAGTTGGTAGGTGGAAATTCCAAAGACTTTTGTTAGAAGAGCCATATTAAATAATTCATTGCTGTACAGGCCATCCCAGGCACTTATAGCAATTGCCCCTTTCATACACGAAACATTAACTTCCCTCTTTTATTTTTAAAATTTTATTTGTCATTTTATTAAGAGCTCTTCCAGATATCATAACATTCCATAGTTCAGTTACATCAAGGATTATTGTACAAATGCTACCACAATCAGTTTCAAAACATTTTTTTTCTAATTGAATTCCTTGATATAAGCTCCCCTAAATCTCCTCCCTCCCCCATCCTTCCCCTCAGGAAATCCTGAGGGGGCCTATTTATTATTTATTTATTATTGTTGTTGTTGGGTTGTTTTTTTTGGTTCTTGTTGTATCTTAATCCATCCAATATATCCATTCACCTACTGTTCACTTCCCTTGAATGGGGTTATGGAATCATCACAGCATTAATTTCCCTCTTTTGATCGTTTTATTGAACACACTCATGGAAGCCTGTAAGTTAGCCACTTCATGCCTTTATTCTTTCCCTACTTTAGATAACTAATTTGTAAATTCCCTATTCCTGTCAATCGGTAGTTTGTAGAGATGAACATATTTTTTGATCTGAAGAATCTTCCATTCCAGTTGTAACTTTGAGCAAAGTGCAGTCTAGAAGTAGTCCCCAATTTGTAGAAATTTACTCCATTTCACAGTGTCAGATATCTGTGTCTCTCTTTGAATGTATTCTGGTCAAGTCAGCCTACTCATCCAAACTAGGTCAAATGAGTACTGCTTGTCAGCTTAGCAGTCCTTACACACCTCCCTGCATATCAGACCAGCCTACCCCTTATCTCTCTCATTCATCCCTACTCTCCATTGTCTGGGCCAATCTCAGAGTCCACACAACTCCTTAACTTCAACCATCCAGTCCTTTCTGTTTTCTCTCACCTCTAGCCTCTGGATCAGGTCAGGTCAATAGGTTGCCAATAGAACATATCTAATTGCTCATGTTAATTGCTGCATTCCCCCTAATCATAAAGGGAACCAGTGAGCAGATGGTCTAGTATGCTTGTTGTAGTATGCACCTGGATTTACTTAAACTATCAGCCCTAGAAAAAGGTTTACTCTGAAGGTCACAACTGCTAAAATGAATATTCACTATTCTATTAGTCTGGATAAATTGTCATGTATTTTGAGTTATATTTATTGGCATTTGGATGTTTTAAAAACTTGGAAGTTTGGGTGTTTCTCAATACTTTTTGGGAGTAAATATTTTCTTTCATATTTAAAGCAATATGGCGAAATTGAAGACTGTCAGATTGATGACGCGTCACTTCATGCTATAATTACATTCAAGACAAGGGCAGAAGCGGAAGCAGTAAGTATTTTAAATGATCAAAATTTCAGAATAAAAACTAGTAAATACTGCTTTAAAGTTTTAACATAAGCCATTTGTCATTCTGATAATTCACCATAATTATGCTTTAACAATAGCTAGAACAGATGAAGTTGAATTCATGCCCTCAAAAAATTTTCTAGTGCAATTAGGCAATTTTAAATATTTAGCACAGTATGATAGGAATACATAGGTAGTCAGCAAGATGAATGTTAGGAGGTATTGTTTTGAGAATTCAAGAATGCTCCGTTTTGCTCTTTCACAGGAGGTAGGCCACTCCTCTTCTATTATCCATTATCTCTTTTCTCATCTGGCCCACACTGGAATGGACAGGCTTGCGTTGGAAACTGCATGGTTAAGAATAAGGTAGACGATGGGAGTGGTTCTGTGGCTTTCTAGTGCTGCCATTCCTCACCTGCTGCTTTCTGCTCCTAGATACCTGAGCTCTAAAAAAGTTTCCTTAGCTCCATAAACAGGGTCTGACTACTTTTTGTTATTATGTAGGTCTTGTGAGAGTTACTATCTGAAAGTAAATACAGGTATACCACCTCTCCCTGCACTCCCTGCTCTTTGAAAGTTCACTGTACACAACTTCATTTTTATGAAACACCTATATTAGTACTCACTTTCATTAACTGAAAGAACTCTAAGGAGGATTTTTGCCTTGATGAAATGAAGGTGAAAAGTAAAACTAGCATTCGGTGTTAGTTTTGCTGGCAAGTCTTAAAGGGGCATCGTGCAACTTGAGCAGTAAAAGTAGTGTCAAGTTCCTTCCCTGGTAACTGCACTCACCATCTAATTTCCTTAGCTGTGACCTGTTTCTGTGAACACTGGATGCTAATGCTTTATGTGTCATTTGGCATATTTGGTAAATTATTATTTTGTCTGAGAGCCCTTCAAAATTTTGCACATATAAAGTAATGATGGTAATTGCTTCTTCATTTTATGCTGTTTTGGCTTATAAAGGGCTTAATGGGAACAATTTTCTTTTTTTAAATCATTTTATTGGGGGCTCATGTGGCTCTTATCAAAATCCATACATACGTCCATTTGTACATATATTGCCATCGTCATTTTCTTTCTACTTGAGCCCTTGGTATCAGCTCGTTTTCCTCCCTCATGAACCTTTGATAATTTATAAATTTTGCTTTCATATTTTACACTGACTGATGTCTCCCTTCACTAACTTTTCCGTTGTCTGTCCCCATAGGAAGGGGTTATATGTAGATCTTTGTGATCAGTTCCTTCTTTCTCCCCCAACCTTCCCCTTACTCTCCTGGTATCACTGCTCTCATTTTTGGTCTTGAGGAGTTTATCTGTCCTGGATTCTCTGTGTTTCTAGCTCTTATCTGTACCTGTGTACATGCACTGGTCGAGCTGGATTTGTAAGGTAGAATTGGGTTCATGATAGTGGTGGGGTGGGGGGAGGAAGCATTAAAGAACTAGAGGAGAGTTTTATGTTTCATCGGTGCTGTACTGCACCCTGCCTGGCTCTCTCTCTTGTGATCCTTCTCTTAGGGGATGTCCCATTGTCTACAGATGGGCTTTGGGTCTCCACGCTGTAGCCCCCATCGTTCACATTGATAGGATTTTTTGTTCTTTGATGCCTGATACCTGATCCCTAGGACACCTCATGATCACACAGGCTGGTGTGCTTCTTCCATGTGGGCTTTGTTGCTTCTCAACTAGATGGCTGTTTGCTTATCTTCAAGCCTTTAAGACCCCAGATGCTATATCTTTTGAGAGCCAGGCACCATCAGCTTTCTTCACCACATTTGCTTATGCACCCATTTTGTCTTCAGTGCTTGTGTCGGGAAGGTGAGCATCACAGAATGCTGGGTTATTAGAACAAAGTGTTCTTGCGTTGAGGGAGTACTTGAATCGAGGCCCAATGTCCATCTGCTACCTTAATACTTAATGTATAAATATATGTACATAGATCTATTCCCTTGTTACATATATAAATATATTTCCATATATACCTGCCTGTATTTAGACCTCTAGAAATGTCCTTTGCCTCCTAGTTCTTTCCTCTATTTCCATTTACTTTCCTCTTGTCTCACTATCATCTCAGCCTTCATTTGGGTTTCCGTAATTCCTCTCAGCTACATTGCCCTTGATCAAGCCCCACCAGGCATCCTATGCCGTCCTCACCATCGATCTTAGATCACTTGTGGAGCGATCTATTTTCATTTAGCAGTAGAAACATATAACCGTTTTAATTTTAGTTTACATGATGAGGTGAAAAGACAAACACCTCTGCTATAATACTCATTTGTAATTTAATTGTAGAATTTGTTACACCATCAGCATTTTAACTTTTTGTGAATTATTTATGAAGGCTTATAGATCAACTCAGTTTTACATTGAACATGTGCTACATACTTTGTTTCATGGCATTGATCGTGCTCCCCACAAGGTAGCATCACTTACCCCATTTTTTCTTGTATTTCTTGTGTCCGTTCTCCCTTCTTTGCTAACCCCTCTGACTTTTGTCTTTTGGTAAATACTGTCCTTTTGATTTAAATAGTTTATTATTCTAAAGAAGGTATACCTCCATAATATTGTTTCCCCCTTATCGATCTATTGTTTTATTGAAAAGTAAGCCACAGGGGTGAGCTCTATGCTGGACCTGAAGTGTGACCAGAGACCACAGTCTTAGGGACCAAGCAACCTGCCCATCAAATTTTTTAATCCTAAAATTTTCTTTAAAATCTATATTGTTTAATATTTTTTCAACAGTAGAAAAATAAGTTGGAAATATGTCAGCAGGATAAAGATTGGGTTAGTGTGGTATCAAACTTCAGGTTTTCAAAATGGAAAGATTGAAGATTTAAAAATTACTAACTTTGACTTAGGTAACCCTTTTATTTGCAATGGAAAGAAGTTTAAAATTTTAAAAATGTGCAATGTGTTGCCACAATACACGCCTATGAAATAAGTAAATCATATGAAATAAGAGAAAATTTGGCATCAGAACTTTAGGTGGACATAAACTCCAGATAAAGGATAAACTTACCTCAGAAGCTGTGGTGACATAGTGGTTATGCATTGGGCTGTGATCTGCAAGTTCAGTAGTTCAAAAGCACCAGCTGCTCAGAAGGAAATTTCCATTCCCATAGAGTTACATTGTCCAGAAACCCACAGGTGCAGTTCTGCTCTGCCTTACAGGGTCGTTGTGAGTTGGCATTGATTCGATGGCAATGCGTTTGTTTCTTTCCCCAAGGAAAAGAAATTGTCAATGTTTTCCAGTGTTTATATCCAGGTATTATATTGTTCTTTTTTTTTTTTTTTTTTTTTAAAACATTTTATTAGGAGCTCTAACAAGTATTACTACAATCCATAGTTCCATTAGATCAAGCATCATTGTACAATTGCTGTCATCATCATTTTAAATTTTCTTTTATTCTTGAACTCTTTGATATCAGTTCCCCTTTATCCCCTTCCTCCCCCACCCTGTCACCCCCATGGACCCGTAATATATTATTATTATTGCCATACCTTACACCGTCCAATGGATCCATTCACCTACAATTCTACTGTCCGTTCCCCTGAGTGGGGTTATGTATTCATCGTTGCTATCAGTTCCCCTCCCCTCCTTCTCCCACTTTCTTCCTGTGCCCTCAGAGTCATCATTAATAATGGTATTGACGCCTAATCTTACATTTTATACAAAATCTTATACTAAATTATTTCTGAAACTCCTCACCTAAAGTTGCGTGTCACTAGATAATGGGAATGTTGCTGGTACCTTACAATAAATTGGTAGCAAAGACACCAGAAGTAGGGTGAGTTGATTAAAAGGACAGATGCGAACATTATGGGTGAAACCAGAACCAGTGGGCTGACATACTGTGGGACTGGGCAGGTGTAGATACACCATCTGACATGAAGAACTGAACGATCCCTTTTGGCTCTAGAGAGCTCTCTGAATCCAGAATTTGCGCAGATAAGTTCGTATCTGTCTTGACCATCCTGGGCTGAACGTTCTGGAGGATAGACAGAAAATACTAGCATCCACAGAATGAAATACAATGACTGAATTTATTTATTGGCAGATGGATTTCCAGAAAATACAAAAAACAAACAAACTAGACTTTGATCCACTGTTCTAGATAGTTGAATTTCTCTTTATTTGCTATTATCAATAGATACATAACATTTCAAGGCAAAGATTTAGGACTTATGAGTTGAGATATTGGGTATGACTAAATATTCAGCAATTTTTCCCAGGAAAGAGATGTTAGCTTTCTAGAGAATAAAAAATTAAAGCAAGACTCTTAAATTTAGATTAACTTGGTCTGGCTTTATTACTGTTAGAATATCATTCCTATTGCATCATTTCCTGCCTCAACACTGTAATATTTTTAAATTGAATAAATGTTTGGAACAAAAGAAAGTCAGCTTCTTACTGTGGCTTCCTATAACTGATGTTGTTGTTGTTGTTGTTGTTGTTGTTGTTGTTGTTAGGTGCCACCAAGTAGGTTCTGACCCATAGCGACCCTGTGCACCACAGAAACACTGTCTGGTCCAGCTCCATCCTCACAGTTGTTCTGTGCCTAAGCCCATTGTGTCGATCCATCTCCTTGAGGGCCTGCCTCTTTTTTACTGCCCCTCTCTTTACCAAGCATGATGTCCTTCTCCAGGGACTGGTGTCTCCTGATAAGAGGTCCAAAGTATGTAAGATGAAGCCTTGCCATCCTTGCCTCTAAGGAGCACTCTGACTATACGTCCATGACCGATCTGTTTGACCTTTTAGCAATCCATGGAATTTTCAGTATTCTTCTCCAGAACAATTAAAATGCATTACAGGAGCTGATTAGAATGTTCATTTTTATCCCTTTGTTACTTTACTTTCCTAGTCCAGGAATCAGCTTCATAGCAATATTTTAGTTCCAGTTTTAAAACTTTCAGTCCCAAAGATGTAATTCTGTAATCACAAACTCAAAGGAGGAATAGCGTTTTAGACTACTAAAAAAAAA